TTGTCTATCTCTGTTTTCACTTGCTTGGCCAGCGGTGTGACATCTTTGAAGACACTATTAGCTTCTATGTCATGAAGGGTTTTGCCAACTTTTTCCTCAATGTACCTTATAGATTCCGGTCTGATGTTGAGGTCTTTAATCCACTTAGATCTTACTTTTGTACATGGAGTTAGGCAGAGATCTGAGCCCACTTTTTTGCATGTAGCCGTCCAGTTTTGCCAGCACAGTTTATTGAAGAGGCTTTCCCTGCTCCATTTCACTTTTCTTGCCCCATTACCAAAAATTAGATGATTATATGTTTGGGAGGAAATGTCAGCATATTCAACTCTGTTCCATTGGTCTGCAACTCTGCTTTTGTTCCAGTACCATGCTGTTTTAATTATTACTGCCTTGTAGTAGAGTTTGAAGTTAGGGAGGTTGATTCCTCCCATTTTCTTTTTCCCAAGAATTGCTTTAGCTATTCGTGGGGACTTATTGTTCCATATAAATTTCAGGAGTGTTTGCTCCACTTCTTTGAAGAATGTCATGGGTATCCTAATAGGGATTGCGTTGAATTATACAGTGCTTTGGGAAGTATTGCCATTTTGACAATGTTAATTCTCCCGATCCATGTACAGGGAATATTTTTCCATTTCCTCGTGTCCTCTTTTATTTCCTGAAGTAGCCTTTTGTAGTTTTCTTTGTACAGGTCCTTTACTTCCTTAGTTAAGGTGATTCCTAGGTACTTGATTTTCTGGGGCACAATTGTGAATGGGATTATTTTCTTCATATCACTTTCTTCTCTTTCACTATTTGCATATAGGAAAGCCATGGACTTTTGGGTATTGATTTTATAGCCTGCCACTTTACTATACAAGCCTATTGTTTCTAGAAGTTTCTTGGTAGAGGTTTTAGGATTCTCTAGGTATAGTATCATATCATCTGCGAATAGTGAGAGCTTGATTTCCTCCTTTCGGATGCCCTAATATCTTTTTCTTGCCTAACCGCTATTGCAAGTACCTCCAGTACTATATTGAACAGCAGTGGAGAGAGTGGACATCCTTGTCTCGTCCCTGATCTTAGAGGGGAGGCTCTCAGTTTCTCGCCATTGAGGACGATGCTTGCTGTAGGCTTGTGGTAGATGGCTTTAACTATATTGAGGAATATCCCCTCTATCCCCATCTTAGTTAGGGTTTTCATCATAAATGGGTGCTGGATCTTTTCAAATGCTTTCTCTGCATCTATTGATATGATCATATGATTTTTATCTTTTCTTTTGTTGATATGGTGGATTATGTTGATCGATTTCCGAGTGTTGAACCAGCCTTGCATCCCCGGGATGAATCCTACTTGGTCATGGTGTATGATCTTTTTGATGAGTAGTTGAAATCTATTTGCTAGTATTTTGTTGAGAATCTTCGCATCTGTGTTCATCAGGGATATTGGCCTGTAGTTTTCTTTCCTCGTGGTGTCTTTGTTTCCTTTTGGTATTAGAGAGATATGGGCTTCATAGAAACTGTTTGGGAGAGTTTCTGTTTTTTTCAATTTCCTGGAAAAGCTTGAGAAGGACTGGCAGCAGTCCTCTTTAAATGTTTGGAAAAATTTGCTAGTGAATCCATCTGGGCCCGGGCTTTTGTTTTTGGGAAGACTTTTGATTGCAGTTTCTATTTCGTTGATGTTAATAGGTCTATTCAGATACTCCAGATCTTCTTGATTCAGCTTTAGGAGATTATAGGAGTCCAGGAATTTGTCCATTTCTTCTAGGTTCTCTTGTTTTGTGGCATACAGACTTTCAAAGTAGTCTCTGATGACCTTTTGGATTTCTTTGGTTTCTGTTGTGATATCCCCCTTCTCATTTCTGATTCGATTTATTAGGGTTCTCTCTGTTTCTTTGTGAGTGTTGCTAGTGGTTTATCTATCTTGTTTATTTTCTTGAAGAACCAGCTCTTGGTTTCATTGATCTTTCGGATTGTTTCTTTGGTTTCCATGTCATTGATTTCTGCTCTATGTTTTGTGATCTCTTTCCTTCTGCCTGATTTAGGCTCTTTCTGTTGATCCTTTTCTAAGTTCTTGAGCTGTGAGGTCAAGTTGTTTATGTGCATCGTTTCTACAGACCTAAGATATGCTTGCAGAGCTATAAATTTTCCCCTTAATACGGCTTTCGCTGCATCCCATAGGTTCTGGTAGCTCGTGTCTTAATTCTCATTTGTTTCCAAGTATCTTTTGATTTCGTCCTTGACTTCATTCCTGACCCACTCGTTGTTCAGCATCGAGTTGTTTAACTTCCAGGTGTTTGATTTCGTTTTCCGTGTCTGTGTGTGATTCACTTCTACCCTCAGTGCATCATGGTCTGAAAAGATGGCTGATACTATTTCTATCTCCCTGATTCTGTTGAGGTATGTTTTGTGTCCTAGCACATGGTCTATTTTGGAAAATGTTCCGTGTGCACTGGAGAAGAATATGTATTCTTTCTTTTTGGGGTGTAAAGCCCTGTATAGGTCTATAAGCCCTCTCTCTTCTATTTCTTCTTTCAAAGCCAATGATTCCCTGTTGTGTTTTGTTCTTGTTGATCTGTCCAGAGGTGATAGGGCAATGTTGAAGTCTCCAGGTACTATTGTGTTGCTTGTAATGTCCTCCTTAAAATCTGTTAGCAGTTGTTTTAAATATTTAGCTGTTCCCTCATTAGGTGCGTATACATTTAAGAGTGTGATTTCTTCCTGTTGTATGTATCTCCTGATGAAGAGAAAATAGCCTTCACTGTCCCTTCTAGTCTTTTTCAAGGTGAAATTAATGTTGTAGGATACTAGTATGGCCACCCCAGCTTTTTTGCAGGAGCTATTTGCTTGCAGGATTGTTTTCCATCCTTTGACTTTGAGTCTATGTTTGCTCTGAGTGTTGAGATGAGTTTCTTGTAGGCAGCAGAATGTTGGGTTCTGTCTCTGTATCCATTTTGCCACTCTGTGTCTCTTCAATGGTGAATTGAGACCGTTGACATTGAGAGAGAGTATGGTTATGGGGTTTTGTGTCATGTTTCTGTGCGGGTGTGTTGTGGTTGTAGGGTTTGTCTTGTCTTATAGTAGCCCCTTTAGGCCTTGTTTTAGGTTTGGTTTAGAGTCTATGAAGTTCCTGAGCTGTTGTTTATCTAGAAAATAGTGTAGTATTCCTTCAATTTTGAGTGAAAGTTTAGCCGAATAGAGTATTCTCTGTGAAGCATTCATATCAGTGAGTTTTTCTGACTATATCTCGCCACTGCGATCGGACTGGTAGGGTTTCCTCTGATAGGTCTGCTGTGAATCTCAGGGGTGCTCCTTTGTATGTGATTTCTTTTTTGCCCTTGCTGCTTGCAGTATTGTGTCTCTATCGGCAGCATTGATCATTCTAACTATAATATGTCTTGGAGTGTTTCTGTTGGGGTCTCTTTTAGCTGGCACCCTTCAGGCTTCTTGAATCTGAATGGCTGTATTGTGGAGCTCTGGGAATTTCTCGGCGATGATTTGTTTAAGCATGGTTTTTTCATTGGGATTGTTACCCTGAGATTCTGGTAGTCTAATGATTCTAATGTTGTTTCTTTTGGAATCGTCTTGTAGGACTCTGATTCTCTGTAGAGCTATTTTGAGGTCCTTTTCCACTGTTTGTTGTTGATTGTTCGCTTGGTGCAGCTGATCTTCCAGGTCACTGATTCTTTCCTCAGCTGTGGTCATTCTATTTTTGAGGGCAGAGAGTGAGTTGTTGACTTCATCTAGGGAATCTGTGATGCATGCCATTTCTGTGCGAAGCTTTCCAATTTCGTCTCTCATTTCTTGCTGTATTTTTTCGATTGTGCGATCAATTGTTTCTTTCATGTCCTCTTTCAGTTTAGCGGATATCTGTCTGACTGTTTCATTGAGTTGATTGAAAATCTTAATGACTTCATATCTGAATTCCTTGTCAGAGAGGTTCCTTAGGTGGCCAGCACCTAGTGAGGCTTCTGGACTTATTTCCTCATCGTCTCCCTGTGGCGGAGATTTGCGTTGTTTCTTCATGTTGTTGTGTAGGTGTAGGGATGAGATTTCTTGATTTGTGTAAACTACCTTCAGCTGCGTAAGCGGCCACCTGCCGAAAATTAGGCCACGCCCACTTAAAAAACCACGCCCACTTGTAAAGTTGCCACACCCCTACAGCTACCTGGTATGTGTCCTGGGAGAAAAGACTGGGTGGGGAGAAGAGACCAGCTCGGCTTGGGCGGCGGAAAGGGAGAGGCAGAGGGGCTCCGATCAGCTTTGTTGCCAGGCGTCCGTGGGATGCCGTTCCCAGGGCTTGCGCGGTGCAATCCAAAGTCCCGGGTCCGAGAAATGGCCCCAAAACTGACCTGGGGATTTAAGGAGGGAGACCAGCTCGGCCCGGGCGGCAGAAAGGGAGAGGCAGAGGGGCTCCGATCTGGAGTTAATACTTTTTTAGTGGAAAGAATATACAAAGAGGATAGTAGTATAAAATAGTGCTAGCTTGTTTTTTCTGTTTGTTTCGGGGCCATGTCTGGTGTTGGTGCTCAGAGGTTACCACCAGCTCTTTGCTTGACGGTCACTCCTGGTGATGCTTTGGGGATCACATAGTGCTGGAAATTGAACTAGGTTCAGCTGCATGTATGGCTAGTACCTTAATTACTGTATTATCTCTCTGGCCCACAGTACAATCTTGGATGGATACAAAGGTGAATTTAGTTAAAGATTTTTTAAGTTTAATTGTTTTAGGTCTTTGTTATTCATTGAGAATGTGGATTCAGCATTGTAAGATTTTTTTCTTTTCTTTTTCACTTTTGGTTCACATCTGGCAGTCCTCAGGGGTTACTCATGGGTCTGCACTCAGAGATCAGTCCTGGTGGGCTTGGGAGTCTATATGGGATGGTGGAGATCAAACCTGGGTTGGCTGTGCACAAGGCAAGCTCCCAACCTCTTATGTTGTATCATTCCCGCCCCACATTGTAAGATTTAATTCAGTGGATTAAGACTGTCAGATTATAAAAATTTTATTATACTTTTTTTCAGAAGAAGCCCACCATATTGATCAACAGATTGAGAGACTGTATCAATTTGATGAACAAATTGAGAGCCGGTTCCAGAACGGTGAAGATAAATGTTTGATGATGGAAGTTGAATTCCATAACAAGAAAACAATAAACCCCACTAGGGGTGGTTATAATGAATTTGGGAACACACTTCATCTGAGTACAAACCTTATTGCTTCAATACCTTATAAACATGAGTCATTTGTAAATAATATGTTAGATAATTTAAACCTATTTAGTAGAAGCTCTGTAGGAAAGAAATATGATAATGGATGTGCAAAATTATTATTCCATACAGAATTCGAGAAGACAAATCTTGGAGTAAAACCCTACATGTATAAAGAGTGTGGGAAGGCCCTCAAGAGAAAAGATCTTAGTCTGCATCAGAGAATCAAAAATGGAGAGAAACCTTTTGAATGCACTGCATGTAGGAAAACCTTCAGCAAGAAATCACACCTCATTGTACACTGGAGAACTCATACAGGAGAGAAACCATTTGGATGTACTGAATGCGGAAAAGCCTTTAGCCAAAAATCTCAGCTTATAATACACTTGAGAACTCATACAGGAGAGCGACCCTTCGCGTGTCCTGAATGTGGAAAAGCCTTCAGAGAAAAGTCAACTGTCATAATACATTACAGGACACACACAGGTGAGAAACCTTATGAATGTAATGAATGTGGAAAGGCCTTCACTCAGAAATCAAATCTCATTGTCCACCAGAAAACACACACAGGAGAAAAAACCTATGAATGTACTAAATGTGGGGAATCTTTTATACAAAAGCTTGATCTAATCATACACCATAGTACTCATACAGGAAAGAAACCACATGAATGTAATGAGTGTAAGAAAACTTTCAGTGATAAGTCAACTCTTATTATACATCAGCGAACTCACACAGGAGAGAAACCTCATAAATGCTCTGAATGTGGGAAGTCTTTCAATGAGAAGTCAACTCTCATTGTGCATCAAAGAACTCATACGGGAGAGAAACCCTATGAGTGTGATGTGTGTGGAAAAACCTTCACCCAAAAATCTAATCTTGGCGTACACCAGAGAACTCATTCAGGAGAGAAACCCTTTGAATGTAATGAATGTGAGAAAGCATTCTCTCAGAAATCCTATCTCATGCTTCACCAAAGAGGTCATACAGGAGAGAAGCCCTATGAATGCAATGAATGTGAAAAAGCATTTTCCCAGAAATCATATCTCATTATACATCAAAGAACTCATACAGAAGAAAAGCCCTATAAATGCAATGAATGTGGCAAAGCCTTTAGAGAAAAATCAAAGCTCATTATACATCAAAGAATTCATACAGGAGAGAAACCATATGAATGCCCTGCATGTTGGAAAGCTTTTAGTCAGAAGTCTCAGCTCATAATACATCAGAGAACACACACCGGAGAAAAACCCTATGCATGCACTGAGTGTGGCAAAGCCTTCCGTGAAAAATCAACATTCACTGTACATCAGAGAACGCATACAGGAGAGAAACCTTATAAGTGTGCAGAATGTGGGAAAGCCTTTACCCAGAAATCAAACCTTATTGTACATCAGAGAACACATGCAGTAAAGAAAGTCCATGGGAAAGGCCATGCCCGGAAGTCAAAGCTCAGTGCACATTAGAAAGTAAATTAAGAGTGCCTGTCATGTATGCTGGAGAAATATTTTTATCAATTAGCATTTTTAAGTATGTTCTGAACTTCTAGAGAATAATGGAAGCATTAAAAAAATTTCATCTCAGGGCTGGAGAGATAGCTCAGTGGACTGAGCACATGCATCGTGAGGCCTGGATTCCATCCTGGGCAACACATGGACTCTAAGCACTTCTGAGAGTGATCCCCAAGCACTGAACCAGGAGTAGCCACAAGCATTGCTGAGTACAGACTTCAAAGAAAAAATTTCACCTCAGTCTTCACTCAAAAGCTACAGGGCGAAAAAGAAGCAGAAATATGATCTCTGTGTTAGAAATAGATCACTGAAATTCTTTTTTTTTGGAGACACCAAGAATCTTTATTTATAAATCAAGAATTCTGCAAACTGGTGAGATTCCCTATCTTTTTTTTTTCTTTTTTTAAAAAATTTTTATTAGTGAAACACCATGAGGTACAGTTGTAGATTTACAATTTTTTGTGCTTGGGTTTCTATTATACAATGATCAAATACCCATCCCTCCACCAGTGCCCATTTTCCACCACTATGGATAATATCCCTCCCACCCCCATCCCACCCTGCCTCTGTGGCAGGGCATTCCCTTTTGTTCTCTCTCTCCTTTTGGGTATTGGATCACTGAAATTCTTGTGAGAAGACAGGCAGAAGAAATCAAGAGCCAGTACTGGAGGTTACAGAGATCACTCATGACTGTAGATATGAGACCAAGCTGGTAAAGACTTTTAGCTGAGGTTCAGGTTATATCCTGAAGAGGTTCATGTCCATATATAAAATGGATACACATATTTATCTCGGAGAGCCTGGCAAGCTACCGAGAGTATCTCGCCTGCATGGCAAAGCCTGACAAGCTACCCGTGATGTATTCAATATGCCAAACACAGTAACAACAAGTCTCAAAATGGAGATGTTACTGGGCCCGCTAGAGCAAATCGATGAACAATGGGAGGACAGTGCTACAGTACACATATTTATAATAGAGCACATGAACAGGTAGAAGGTGGGGTGTTTTCTAGACATATTTGAGATCTGAAGAGAGACAGCAACGGGCCTCAACAAGATATCACTAATACAAGCCATATTTGCAGAAAGTCTGTACTCTTAGGTGCAGTATTGGGGCAAGAGAAAGGATCTTTCCTTTTGAAGAATGCTACAAATGTTCCTGCTTAGTAAATCCAGAGCTGTAAAGTTTGAAAGAACCAGCATATTGGAAAAAAATTTCTAGATGTAAGAAAACGTCTTACCTGCCTAGAATGTGGCTTTGGTTTACATGACCTCCAGCAAAAAAGTCCAGGAAAAAACTTAAAGAGGAATGATTCCAAAGTAATTAAAACCACAATTCATATGGCTATGAGCCAGAAATTCTGCTTGTAGAAATGTGTATGTTCATGCATGTACGAGTTGTTGATATACTATATATAGAAAAGGATTTGAAGTTGTGTAGAATACATAACCAGGGTCTGGTAAGTGAAGTAACAGCAAATTCCATAGCAGACAAAAATAAATAAAAATATGGAGAACTTGAATACCATTTTATGTAGTGATGTGAGACGATCTCCAGCATACATTATTAGATGAGGATAGTGGTATAAAATGTTGCCATTTGTACATAAAAAGGAGAATAAGTGGTAAGTACATAATTGAGTGTATTGCGTAAAATCTCTCTGGAAAGATATGCAAGAAGCTGAGAATCTTGATTACCTCTGGGGAAAGAAAGAGGAAGTGGGTGGGTAGGGAGATGAAATAGGGAAAGAGCTAATTGTATATCCTCTCACAACTTAAAAAACTACATTATGTGAATGTAATACCTTTTCAAGAAATAAAACTTTTTAAAAAGAATATTTTGTTACATTACTGTTAAGCTAGATTCCAGATAAAGGATTTTATAACATTTTATATAGATATGCTCAATGTGTACTTTTCAGGTGACTTCATTGAATGGTCAGACAGAAATACAGATGTACAATTGATTCCCAAATCAGAAAGAAATTTATTTCCTGAGGGTAAAGTATAATTTTGAAGTTGGTTGGTACCATATTGTATAAACCTAGAATAATCGAGACTGCAGTGTATTTATTACTTAGTGTAGGACTGCACTGTAGCACTGTCCTCCTGTTCATTGATCTGCTCGAGCGGGCCCAGTAACATCTCCATTGTGAGACTTGTTGTTACTGTGTTTGACATATCGAATATGTCATGGGTAGCTTGCCAGGCTTTGCCGTGTGGGCGAGATACTCTTGGTAGCTTGCTGGGCTCTTCGAGAGAGGCGAAGGAATCGAACCTGGGTCGGCCGCATGCAAGGCAAACGCCCTACCTGCTTTGCTACCGCTCCAGCCCATTACTTAGTGTACTCAGTGAAATCTATGAAAATACTCTGCAGTAAATTCCACTGTCTTTTATATCTTTTATATTTTATATCTTATTACAATGATTTAAATTACTTAATATGTGTGTATGAATATACAGTTGACAAGTATGAACTACATGGTTCACTTAAGTATATATTTTTAAACATGGTTCTAAATTTATTTTTCTCTTGTGATTTTCTTAACATTTTCTTTTCTCAGGGCTGGAGCAGTAGTATAGTGGGTAGGGTATTTGCCTTGCATGCAGACAACCCGGGTTCGATTCTTAGCATCCCATATGGTCCCCTGTGCATCGCTGGTGTGACCCAAAAAGAAAAAAAAACTGAAGAATTTCTTTTCTCCAAATAATGTTAATCTAGAGTGTAGTATATGCTAGTAGAACACACAAATTGTGTTAGCCAATAGCATAGTATTAGAAAAGTTCTGGGTAGTCAGCAGTTTTGCATGGGCTTTTCCCACTATGGAGAAGCCCGTGTTCTGTCTTAAATATATATTTCTGACTTTATCTCTCTCAATCTTCTCTAAGTAAATTTCTTTAAATAAAACTATTTTGCTTCATCAAAGAAAGTTGTGTATGAAGTTAGTGTGAAGGGTTGGTGCACTGTTCCACGGTTCGCTGTGTGTATTATTATATGTGATGTAAATCTTGAACATAGAGGAATTAGGTCAACACTGCTGATGACATACTATTATTTCCCAAGGTGGAAGGAGAGAGGAGAGGGATAGTGAGAGTGTGTCCCAAGTCTGAATAGACACAAAGACTATGTAAGAACACTTTTGCTCCAGAGCAAATGGTCCCAGTTGTGAATGACCATATTTGACTTTCATCCTTCTGTGGCTTTTCAGTGGGGCCTTTGCTGGTTGAGCTGGGCAACCTAAACTATGTGAAACCTGGGAATATTCAGTGTTTGATGTTAGCAAACACAAGTGGATAATTCAGGTTTTTTAAGTTGTACCTGTACTCTTGCAGGCCTTGTTTTCCCCGTAAAAGATGCTCCAGGAAAATAATCAGTGGGCTTATTATTTTATGAACAGTAAGTCATACACATCATCTTTAGTGCTGGGGAGGGTGTGTGTGAGTAAAGTTTGAATGGACAAACAATGGATGTTGGAAATGTGGACAGAGAGGAGTAAAGTAGGAATGGCGGTAGTGAATGGGTAAAAAGGTAAAGGTAAAGGCCCTCCCGTTGATCGTCGATTTGCTCGAGCGGGCCCAGTAACGTCTCCATTGGAGACTTTGTTGTTACTGTGTCTGGCATATCGAATACTCTCGGTAGCTTGCCGGGCTCTCCGAGAGGGGCGGAGGAATCGAACTCGGGTCGGCCATGTTGGCCGCTTGTAAGGCGAACGCCCTACCCGCTGTGCTATCGCTCCAGCCCAGTGAATGGGTAAGAGTGGCAAAATGTAGGAGAAAGTACAAAAAAAGAGTGACTGTCAATATGTAGGCCACTGGGATTTGGAAATAGGCACTCTGTGGTGAATGATGAGCTGTGTTTGGGAGCCCAGAGATGCCTGTGGTGGTGTTGGCAATTAGTTGGCAAAGACTGTATAAGCAGAAGATGTTGGATATGGCCACAGGTTTTCTCCACCAGAGAACTCAGGTGTGTGGAATGGAAAAGTTCTGTGATTAGAAAATTATTTCATGTACTTGTTACTTTAGACAGTGATTTCAATCATTTTACACTTGACGACTAGCACTTGTCTAAGCACTGACTATCAATTTTCAACCATTTCATGCTTTTGGCACTGGTCTGTGGGCCAGTAGTTGTAAACCACTGATTTATAATGCAGGGAGAAGCCCCACCACAAGTATGTCCATGACACTTCCAGATCCGCTCCTTTGTGCTCATAGGCCAGTCCTTCCCCTCAAAGTACCCTACATTCATACCAGTTATATGCCTTGTTGCATTAGCTAAAATCTCTAAAATGATAGGATTCTGCTTTAATATTTCTTCTTTAATTCTAGGCTATTCAACACTACAATGGAACCCTCGAGATTAGCCATCAGGCTTGTTATTGGCCTTACAGTCACACAAACAATACTAAACCTTCAATATTTTAAATTATTTTATATTTGAATTATGATCCCCTTTGCCTCACCTTTTGGGACTTATTAAATATGTGGCATTTCTTGAATGCAATGATATTCTCTAATATGCTCCCAGCCGAGTTACTCCAAAGTTTTCAGCATAAAAATGCTCAGAACAAAGCTGAAATGTTTGAGACTCATGAATTATTATTATTATTATATCAACTTAAAATATATTTTAAAAAACACTTAGCAAAGGTGAAGAGTCGGAAAAGTTAACATACTTAGGACAAGGTGCCATCACAGTGAAAGACTAGATTTATTGAAAATTGTTGTGTAATGTTTGTATTCCCTTTCACCTACTTTCTATCTTTAGTATTAACATTCATGTGAAGACCAGAGCTGAGGTTTGAATAAGGGGGCCAGTCACTGTCAGCAGTGTCAGAGCCAATAACATTCCTACTTCCTTCAGCTCTAGCTTGCCAACTATCAGGCACAGTCATGGCTGTTTATGTTCAGTGTCATAATTCTTACCAGATAGATTTAAGTCAACTAAAATTGTCAGGGGTTGGAGCCATAGCACAGCAGGTAGGGCGTTTGCCTTGCACACGGCCAACCCGGGTTCGATTCCTCCACCCATTTTGGAGAGCCCGGCAAGCTACCGAGAGTATCCCACCTGCATGGCAGAGCCTGGTAAGCTCCCTATGTCATATTCAAAATGCCAAAAACAGTAACAACAAGTCTCACAATTTGTTGGGAATTGAATCCAGGTCGACCACATGCAAGACAAACACCCTACCCGCTATACTGTCACTCAAGACCCATGGCTAGAAATTTTAAAAAATGAAATGCAATCTCCACAGGTGATACACGAAGTTCAAAAGCATAACCTGG